TATAACAAGAGAAATCAAAGGGGTAAAGAGAGCTCGGTCGGTTCCTAACTGGGGCAAGAAATGTTTCTCTTCTGCAATGTCCAGACCAGCTGCGGCGCCCACCCAGCATCCTGTCCAATGGGTACTGGAGCTCTTTTCCTGGTGTTAAAGTGGCCAGGGCATGAAGCTGACAACTCACCTGTTATCTAGCATCTCTTCAAGGTGCAGGGCTTAACTGATTAAAAACGGAAAAGTTAAACTGCTGGAAAAAATCTCTACTCTTTCTTGATCAGTTTAGCCAAAATAAAATAAAGCCATTTTGTGCCAAAAACGAACCTACCTCTGCTTGATAAACAACACACAATTCATACATGTGATCATCATACCCCATCTTACAACATGAATGCATTTCAAATAATCGTTTAATTGCTGAAGCAGAGAAATGAGCAGCAGCTTTCAAAATTCTACTTAGCAATGCTGCCAGTGCAACACAGCGGTTCTGTACTTGTAACAGTTCTCATTCTGATATGCAACAGTTTGCAAAGCCCCCATCTCAGAACCCTATCCAGTCTGTACTGGGGATAAATCAGGAGGGGAGTGAAAGTGACCACTCACATCCATCTAGTGCCACGGCCAAGAATGGTNTATAATAATCAGGAAAGAATAAATACATTCATTAAACAGAAACTATATATATATTAACTTAAATTAATCAAAACAGAATACATCAAACTATAATCACAATTTAATTTCCCTCAATAATGAATCCATTTTTTCTAAAACTTCCACGTCCAGAACCAGAATATCTTTGTCGTCATTGTCACAGCACTCCTTCCAGGTGGTTGAGCCTGAAATAATAAATATGTATAAGAAATGGCAGATTTGCAATAAAATAAGCAGGTTCTGAGAGCAAAAATAAAACTATAAAGTTCGTGACTACGGTATATTGACTTAGTTACTCATGGAGCTGAGCCCTTCTGGAGGAGCCGCCAATTCAGCAGCTACTCAAGAATTTCCCAGCATTTTAGGGAACCTGAAGGTTCATCAGTGTGTTCACAAGAGCAATCCGCTGGTCCCTATCCTGAGCCAGATCTATCCAATGTATACCATTCTATCTCTCTAAGATCCATTCTAATATTGTCCACCTACCTACGCCTTGGTCTTCCCTGTGGTCTCCTTCCTTCTGGCTTTTCCACCAATATCCTATACACATTCCTCGTCTCCCCCATTCGTGGTACATGACCTGCCCACCTCATCCTCCTTGACTCGATCATTCTAATTATACTTGGAGAAGAGTACAAGTTATGAAGCTCCTCATTATGCAGTTTTCTCCAACCTCCTGTCACTTCATCTCTCTTCGGTCCAAATATTCTCAACACCCTGTTGTCAAACACCCTCAGTCTATGTTCTTCCCTTAATGTCAGAGACCAAGTTTCACACCCATACAGGACCACGAGCAAAATTATAGTTTCGTATATTCTAATTTTTATGTTTTTGGACAGCAGATGAGAAGACAAAAGGTTCTGAACTGAATGGTAACAAGCATTACCCGAGTTTCATTTCCTCTTAATCTCCTCCTCAATCAGGTTTTGATCTATTATCGTCGTTCCCAAATATCTGAACTGTGCCCCATTTTCCAAACATCTGTTTCCTATCTTTATGTCATGATTTTGCCCTGCATTTTGGTGATGAGACAGTAACATATACTGAGTTTTCTCTGTGTTTACTTCTAGACCAACCTCTTTACTTGCGTCAATTAAAGTCTGTGTATTTTTCTTTATGGTATCTATTTGTACATTGTCACCCAGTAAATTCACATCATCGGCATAGGCCAATAGCTGATGTATCCCGTTTAATTTCAGTCCCACCTGGTTTCCCTGGACCTTCCTAATGGCATATTCTAAAGCAAAGTTGAAAAGAAGTGGCAATAAAGCATCTCCTTGTTTTACACCATTTTGGATAGGAAATTTATCAGACAAATGTTTACCTATATGGACTTTACTATAAGTTTCTTTTACACACATTTTAATCGGCATAACTAGTTTCATCTTGTTTCTTGGATATCCCGAACTCTATCAGAATATTGTACAGTACTTCCTTCCTAACTGAATCATAGGCTTTACTGAAGACTACAAATAGCTGATGTACTGTAGCATTCTACTCCCATTCTTTCTCCAATATCTGACTAATACAAAACATCTGATCTGTAGTTGATCTGTTACGTCGAAACCCACACTGATGATCCCCCAATAATTTCATCTATATATGGACTTAACCTTGAAAGAAGAATATTGGACAAAATTTTATATGAAGCTGATATCAGTGATATCTCCTGATAATTACCAGTCAGTTTTATCACCCTTCTTGTGAACTGGTACAATAATAGACTCCTACTGATCAGGCAATTTTTCCTTATGCCAAATAGAAGTAATTTTTGTGCACTCTTGCAGACTGCATTTGTTAATGCATCGTGTTGGAAAGAAAAGGAACTAACACGAGTGGTGTGCTTTCCACGAGGAAATTCAAAGCAAGCACACTCATACATTTCCTGATGCTATCTTAACATTAGGGTCATGTAATTACCGCATGCTGCAGTGTTAAAATTAATTTATCTGATGCAATTTGGTTTCTTGCAGACAGTCTCAGAGCATACAAGAAATTAGTCTTGACTTCCTAATATAAATGACAACTGTGAATTTCTGCTTGTCAGCTCATAAAATCAACTCATCTCAGATGAGCAGGGAACCATATTTTTCATGCCCTTATAATTTTACATATAAAACAGTTATATTATCCTTACTGTGTAACTCCGACTTTTCGTCCAGAGGTTTTTCATTCCTCCTCCTTTTCGCTTGTCCTCTTGCAAGGATCTTCTCTAACTCAGCAGCTGCTCCCTGTAATTAATAATAAGATATCAGCTTCTGAACAACACTTCACGAGACAGCAGAAGATTTTTATATGCCATTAAATTTACAATTATAGGTGCATTATTACATTCTGTTTCAAAAGTGTACACCATTCCATCTACCTGTGTGTGACAACTTCTAATCCAAATGAATGCATTTTAATGCACTTTACTTTTGCAATCCCTTACTAAAATTTATCTAGTTAACTGAACTATGGTCCATGGAGTAACCATTACATGAACAGCTAATATAATTTATACCAGGGGTCTCCAAACTTTTCGAAATGCAGGCCACATTTGGTAATTCAGCACTTTCAATGGGCCGGATAAAATGAGAAATTAATAACTCAAGGTATATGAGTTTTATTGAAAGCACAGAAATTCATAAACTAAATGCAAAGTACGTGAGAAAAAATTATCGTATATTAATGACAACAGACAGTAGCAGCAAATGCTCATATTTTCATCACAAATTATAATAAAACAATTAATGTGAATGATGGAACTCTTTTTGCATTCTTAACATCTGATTAAATTGAGGTGATGCTGATCTGTTACAATTACACTGCACCACTGCAAGAAGTCTTGTGCACAAGACGGCTAGTAACGAACTGCTCGCGCTACCTACGTTGCCACAAAGTTACACTGCCGATCGAGGCTGAACAAGTACTAAGAAATACCATGCAGTATACGGTCCAGAATTAGTAAAATTGTTAATATTAATATTAACATAATATGGAATATGAATATATTTTAAACACAATCTTAAGTAATGAATTTGAAATCTGTGAACAAGTATTTTTTTGTAAGATTTGAGGCTTTCACGGCGGTGACTATGAAGAAAGCAGTCTTCTGGGATTTGGCACCGTGTATATGTGGTGTTAACCGACGTTTCGTAGGAACGTATCGCCTCCATCTTCAGAGTAGAAGAAAAAATATAAGAAATCTGCAAGCGAAGAGACCGTGAGAACCGGTAAAAGCAGACTGCTGAAGATGGAGGCGCTACGTTCCTCCGAAACGTCGGTTAACACCACATATACACGCTGCCAAATCCCAGAAGTATTTTTTTACCAGTACTCATTGGAAAATTAGTTCAATTGGCGCATTTCTGCACAATTCTTTCGCGGGCTGGATGTGGCCCACAGGCCGTAGTTTGGAGACCCTTGATCCATACATTTAAAGATTACGGTCTTCTGGGATGTGACACCATGCAGTCTGGTAGCCAGGTATGAATCTTTCAGATCTGAACCCCTCTGACTCTTCTACCCTAAATATGGAGGCAGCAGCTTCCTCTGAAATACAGGTACTTATCTATGGTGTCACATACGGGAATACTGTAATCTTAATATTCACTGCTGTCACGGCATCAAATATCATAACTGACACGCATTTAAGAAAATATTAAGCAGAACAAAACTATTTCAGGAAGAAGTTACAACCACGAATGAATTTTACATTTTGTGCCAGATGACTTTTCTTCGTGCAACATATTTTCAAGATAAAACTGATTGTGGGAATATAAAATGTGCTTGTTCATGAAAACTGAACACCCACTGAACATCTATATTTTATGCATAAGATATCCTCAAACAATTATGAATCACAGAGAAGGGATTTAAATATGGAAACAAAGCAAAACTCTCATCCTCTTTTCTTTGGTAATATCGATTAGTAATGATACCTATTATAAAATAATCAATTTTCTGGACATTATTCACTATCTTAATTTTCATCTGAAACAACACTTCAGAGAGTGGATCTGTTTCCATCCTCATCCATCCACCAAAACCAATCAACAGAGCCAGTCCCTATCTCCACAGACAGAACGCTGCAACTTTCGGATATCATTTATCTACTATAAGAATGAAAATGTTCACGCTTCTAATTCTATGGATAAACTGTATTAAGAAATAATGCCTCATTTTAGTTTGGTTCTAAAGTAATACTACACTCAATGTCTGTCTGTCTCATTAAATCATTATAAATACAAAGAACAAATTTCGAGGAGATGCTCCCAGCAAATTGTTACTTTTCCCAATTACCCGACATAAACAATACAAACAGAATGTCTGTGCAGTCTGTAAAGTGAGATACAACTCCAGCCTTGAACCTATGCAAGTTGAAAGTACTTTAAAATTATCCACCTTTTGTTAATTTATGGAAATGGAAGTGCATATGGCAATCACATAAAAAGTTTGAGCCAATGATGGTCATTAGTGATAAACTGTATATAACTTATATACGTGGGGCAATCCAAAAGTTACTGAAATTTGAATTTTGCGTGCGAATGGTTATGAGTACATGGAAATACTGCTAGGTGTCTCCTCACACATCCTTCTTGAATCAGTGTGGCAAGCGGCATCGAGTTGAGTGGTTGGGTTTATTATTGGTGAATGTATTTCCATTGTTGTGTTTCCGTGAGTTTGCGGTTTTGCGATGGCTGACCTGAGAGAGCAACGTGTCTGTATAAAGTTTTGTTTCAAACTTGGGAAAACCGCTGCAGAAACGCACCAAATGTTGAAGCAAGCTTTTGGTGAAAAGAGTTTAGGCCAGACATGAGAAAATGTCGTGAAAGTTAGGGATCTGATTCTGCAAGATCTTAGACTGACCATCCAAGACCTCTGTAACACCTTGGGACTAAGTTATGGTACATGTCAACGAATTTTGTCAGAGGAAGTGAACGTGAGGAGGATTGCGGCGAAGTTTGTGCCACGATTGCTGCAAAATGAACAGAAGCAGCATCGCTTGGAAGTCTGCAGGGAACTTCAGCAACAGCTTCAAGAGGATCCAAACTTTCTTTTGAAGGTTGTCACTGGTGACGAAAGTTGGGTTTATGGCTACGACCCTGGAAGCAAGCAGCAATTGTCGCAATGGAAGAGCCCTTCTTCACCTCGGCCAAAAAAAGCTCGACAAGTCAAGAGCAACACTGAGTCCATGTTTATCTGTTTTTTTTTTGATACTGACGGGATTGTTCATAAGGAGTTCATCCCTCCTGGTCAGATAGTCAATAAAGAGTTCTATCCCGATGTTCTAAGGCGTTTGAGGGAGGACATGAGGAGAAAACGTCCAGAGAAGTGGCGCACGAACGACTGGGTACTCCACCATGACAACGCATGACCACATACGGCTTACATTGTGCAGGAATTTTTGGCTAAAAACAAGATGGCAGTTGTTCCCCACCCACCGTACTCGCCAGACTTAGCTCCATGCGACTTCTTTCTCTTCCCCAAGATGAAAATCAAGTTGAAGGGGCGAAGATTTGATACAGTTGAGGAAATTCAAGCGGAAACGCGGACAGTACTAAACACCCTAACAAAGAAAGACTTCCAGGATGCATTTGAAAAGTGGCAGAAACGCTGGGATCGGTGTATGCGCTCCCAAGGGGACTACTTTGAAGGTGATGGTGCAGAATAAGATCAAGGTAAGATGTAATAGTTTTTATTAATATATTTCGGGAACTTTTGGATTGCACCACGTACATATACTGATAGTATAAACATATCTACCATGTATACCAATAGTATAAGACCCCAAAGACTTCAGAACCCTAAACTGAACCATACTGACAAATTTTCAGATTCCTTCAAACTGATAGTTTAGAAATGTTAAGGTGGTTTTCATTTCTGTGTATCCTGCCATATCAGAACAAAATCTACTTACTTCACTTGGTTTCACTGCTCTCTTCTCAACATGGCCTTCCCGTGGGCCCCAAAATCGTTCAGTATCTGAGCAACTGTCAATCTGACTATGTTTCCTCTTGCTTGATTCAAAAACTGTTCTGCCACCAGCTTCCTCTCCTACTTCCGTAGCTCCTATGCATTGTGCAGCGCCACCTCTAAGACCCACAGCATATCCTACAAAAACAGTGGAACAATTCTAAAATTGTTGCTGGCACTTTCACACTGTATTGTGTAACTCTGTAATCCACCGTAAATTTAAAAAATTAACTCCGGCTCCCGTCAGGACAAATGGGACATCACACACAACCGTAGCAATTTCATATGTTACAGGAATGAAGCCATCATTCATATCAGTAAGGATGTGAATGCCATCTTAATTCAGCAGAACTCTGTAACATATAGCACTACAGCCTATCATCACACAGAAAAACATATCACTGTTTATATAGATTTTGTACATGAATTTGGAACACCTGAAAGGGCTTGAATTGCATAAAGGAATCATATCATGTTATTACTTCACTTGTTTTACTAAGTACAGTATACATTTTTAGAATATAAATAAAATCATATAAGAACCCTGAACAGCTTTCAAGCGTATTCTGATGAAACACCCTGATGACATTTCAACGTCAAATTACATCAGGTTATCAATTAATTAAATCAAGCAAATAACATCTGATGCTGTATTCTGACAGCGCTTTTATAGGTTTCTTAATTTACTACTGGTACATCTATACAGGCGGATGTTATGAATGTAATGCTGCCAACCAAAGCTATACTCTTGTATCTGGCATGTCTGGTAGCTCAACACCAAACGTACGTACTGCCTGCTATTTCTTCCTTCACACTGACACTGAGTACACTCATACTGGGTCCTCTGAATATTCCCATTTTTAATCTCTCTCAAGAGTGGAAGTTGATGTAATAAACCAGTTCTGCAATCTCTCTGCGGGTAAAGCTGGAGGGAAGTGAAGCTGACCACTCACCTCCATCCAGTGCTGAGGTCAAGAAACTAAGCACAGTGACAACATTTCTTTTAATCATGCAAGTTCCAACTAGTTCTGACACATCTGAGTGCTCTAAGAAAATAACAGACTATTGGTTTCTGTTTATATAAGTAGACATTTCAAACTTCAAATCATTTAATAACTCAGCCATCTCCCACAGAAGGTCTCAGTCAGCATCTAAGACCAGGCCATCGTCATTCTTATCATCCCCTTTGCCATTTAGCAGGAAATTTGAATGTGCGGTACTGGTGCTATTGCCAGGCGAGTCAACGGGTTCTTGTTCAGTTTCTTCCAATTGCATCAGCCTCACTTTTCTTAGGAGGAGGGTCACCATCATAAACCTTCTTCCACTTTGATGCCATTCCTTTCTCCTGCCTGAAGATGTTGCCTAAAAAATAAATATGTACAATAAGAAATGGCAGATCTGTAACAAAATATCCTGATACATGTCATGTTCGCTTCACCTTAGCTGCAAATGAAGTATGTAACAATGTAAATATGTCTAACAGTTATGACTTGAATGTTTGCCACTTCTGCCTAACATGCAGTTACAGTATTTTGTTACAGTTAGTGTTATTATAAAATTATGCTTTTCTGGCATCTGCTATTCAGGAGGAAATCTCATATGTACATTTTTGCCCCACATCTGTATGTCGTTCCCTTCTCCTTTTGGCCCATTTTCATATTCCTAAAATCAGAAGTAGACAGGAAATCAACTGGCTGTGTGTGTCTGTTAATCACCCCTAACAATTGCTGAACACTTTTACTGGCCTTCATGAAACTTGGTATGTATATCACGATTCCTGGGGCCATCTCAACTGAGCACTTGAGAAATCCCTCTCATCAGTAATACCAACAGTGAAGCCTCTCAAATCCTTTTAGATAATAACCTTAATATGACTTGAATACCTGAACCAAATGTCATCAAATTTGGCTCTGGCAAGAAATTTCCCATTTAAACTGTATTACTCAACTTAACGTCCATTATTTATTGTCCGTCAATACTGCAACACTTATTTGTTCACTATTTAATTTTAATTTTACTTTAACATTATACACCTAGACACTGCATGTTCCGGCCCCAAACGGCCATCTTCAGGTGTCTTGATATATTACAAATATTTTTCATTATATTATGTTAAAACTCCTACACTGTCTAAGTCCCTGTTCAAATCACATGCTGTAGTCCTCTTGTCAAGGTACTGATGGACGATAAATAATGGACATTAAGTTGAACAATTGCAACGGGATGCTGAGAATATCTGGACAGAAGAGGAATGAAATAATATGAGGCTGCAGAAAATTGCACAATGGGGAGCTTCAGAAACTGTACTCTCTGCTAAATATAATCAATACATTTTAACCCTTCTGAGACACAGGAAAACAAGGGATTCTCCACAAACTCTAAAAACAATATCCTACCACACATCCTCATGTGATTCACATTCAGACCTTGGTGGTGGCGCACATGCAGCTCCGTAGAGATGACACACACATCCCATTCCTTGGTGGCTGATACGCTTGTGTCTTTCTCTTTGTCAGCTGGTCACAACGGGGATGGAACTTAATTTCTGAAACCTGATACTCTTATGATTTTCAGCAAGAACCACTGTTCCTTGATGGCTGCATGCCAGAACTACCACTGTAATGCTACAAACATGTTCATCACAGTTTGGGCACATATCGCTGGTGAAAAATTATAAAAATACATACCAACAAGGAAATTCACCACCATAAAACAGACCGTACTAAATAATGACAACAAACAACAAAATACAATCGGAGAAAGAGAGAACATAGCGGACACCATTCTATCACAGTCTTCCTCCCAAATTAATAGCAACTGCTAGAAACAAGAAAAAAGCCTCAGAATGACAGCACCATCTTCTGCAATATTCTCACAGTTCCTACAGGGCAACACTCCCATAAGACACAAGAAAATGGGTACCTACAAATACGTACACAACAAATTACTGAATTACAATCAAAAACTTAACCGAAACAAAACTTATACTGCAAGAATTCGACATCAAACCAAACTTACAATTTACCATGTAAAAGGAACAGAACAACAAAAATTAATTTGCTCAACATTACAATACAGGGAACAGAAAGTTGCCTATCATACAAAATATATAATGCATGGATTTCCCCTGTACAACATATAGGTAAACAACAACAAAAGAATTTTAGATAAAAGCACAAGAAAAAAAAAAGACACAGAAAAACGGAGGAAACAAAACATCTCATACCCATACACCAACAAAACACACAACTAGAACAGCAGCACCAGGTAAGAAAAGAAACCCACACAGGCACCCCTCAAAAACACACAAGTTCAGATCACACAGAGAACAAATTCCACAACTGCCTGAATTCCCCAGATAAATATACCTTTATAATTAATATGTTATTACTTTAACTACAACTTTAATTATATAACACTTAATACAAAAGAGGCATTACATAGAACATAAAAACTGGAAATAAACACTCAAACTGTCTAAATACTGAAAAAAAGAAATGTACGGAGCACTAACATATCAGAGAAAAATCTGAATATAAGAAAAGCTGTACTTACCTAAATGTTGCCATGAAATGTACGAAACGTGTAGTACTTAATACATGACCTACAGTGTAGCTATACTAACACTCAGGTGACGGAAATATAGTAATAAAGGAAAATATTACAAGAATGAGAAAAAAATCGTCTCCCCTGGAAACAATTAATTAATGGCGACACTAAATTAAAAGAATGCCATTTTGCAGTTAAAACCATAAACCAACGTGAGGCATTCAAATTCAAACAGTCGATGCAGCAATGTGCATTTGGTTAATCTAGGAAGTGTATTCAGATCTGATAAAGGTATGACTGATAATTATTCCACACAGTTCGGCATCTTAGTTACTTACCTTGCTTAAAGTCAAGAAAAGGGTAACAGACGAACCCAGAGGAACAACTGCCTACCGCCATCAAAATAAGCTAGCAATGCTACCAACCAGCAACGGAGAACTACAATCACGCATCAGAGCGTACCCATATCAATGATGAAACACGGTCCCTAATTGGTCTCCAGCAAATACTATTTAATATAGCACTTTTCAATCTCCAATCACATCGTTTGTCGCTTTATGCGTGAAGTTGTTACTTCTACATCATCCGATAGGTATATATTTACTTGAAGAAAGCAGTCTTCTGGGATTTGGCACCGAGTATATGTGGTGTTAACCGACGTTTCGGAGGAACGTATCGCCTCCATATTCAGGGTAGAAGAAAAAATATAAGAATTCTGCAAGCGGAGAGACCGTGAGAACCGGTAAAAGCAGACTGTGTGGAAATACACAGCTATGTGAGAGCAGAGAGGGAAGGGGGGAAGGGCAAGTATACAAGTGAAAGCAGTAGCAACATCAAAGCAGTGGGTCTGCCTCCATACAAAAAATTTTTAACACAACATCAAAGCAGTGGGTCTGCCTCCATACAAAAACACAACATCAAAGCAGTGGGTCTGCCTCCATACAAATTATCCAATTTCCTCCAGCTGGTTAAAGACAGCCTGGGCCTAAAGACACCGGGTGTATACAGTATCCCATGCGAGTGCGGGAAAGTCTATATTGGGCAGACAGGCCGCTCCGTGGACATGAGGTTGAAGGAGCATCAGCGGCACATCCGTCTCAAACAACCGGACAAGTCGGCCATAGCTGAACACAGCATCGATCGGGACACCGCATTCAGCTTCAGAATACCTCCATCCTCGCCACCAAGACCCGCTATATGGATCGCGTCATTAGGGAGGCAATTGAGATTGAACTGCATCCAGGAAATATGAACAGAGAGGGGGGGTTTTGTCTCAGCAAGTCTTGGAAACCTCTCATCTGTTCTCTTAGAAAACCCCCACCGGGATATGACGCCGGATCCAGAAGGCCACACAGGCCATGACCAACCAACATAACAACCACCCCCAACCCCCTCAACTTACGGATTAGTGCCCAGCCTTTAACCTTGCCTTTCTCTTCCCTACACAAAAACACGCTTGTCCCAGCTCCCTTCCCCTACCCCTCCCACACTACTGCTTTCACTTGTATACTTGCCCTTCCCCCTTCCCTCTCTGCTCTCACGTAGCTGTGTATTTCCACACAGTCTGCTTTTACCGGTTCTCACGGTCTCTCCGCTTGCAGAATTCTTATATTTTTTCTTCTACCCTGAAGATGGAGGCGATACGTTCCTCCGAAACGTCGGTTAACACCACATATACACAGTGCCAAATCCCAGAAGACTGCTTTCTTCATAGTCACTGCCGTGAAAGCCTCAAATCTTATATATATTTACTTAATCACTTAAATTATGATACATTAAATACTGAAACAGATTGCACTGATTTTGACATCGAACTGTGCTCAATCAAAATTCTGTCCGAATCATCATATATTTATATATTTGCAGTTTATAGAGCCCCTTCTGGTAATTTTACTTATTTTATGCATGAAATGGACGAGATAATTAAGATCATTATATAACTTAAAAATAGCATTTTATCATATGTGGAGACTTTAATATGGATTACCTTACTGATAATTGTATGAAATGTCAGTTTAATTTCTTGTTAAATTCATATAATCTTTTTAGCATTGTAGGCTTTCTTACTAGAATACAGAATACATCCAAATCTGCTACAGATAATACATTTATACATTATTCAAGATTAGGAACTTCTAAAGTTACTCCTATACCAAATGGTATATCTGATCAAAATGCTCAACTCATTTTCATCCATGACATTATGCTACCTTTCCTTCACAAAGGTTATTGGAAAACAAGGATAACTGTTAAATGTTCATTAGCTGATTCCAATTACAAACTTAGTTATGAGATGTGGAAAGAAGGTTTTGAAGAGAATGATGTGAATGTTATGTTTAATTCCTTTTTAAATATATGAGGGTTGGAACTTTAATAGTGACAACTATTTATTTACTACTGATACAAAATAGATGCATGTTTCAAAGTTTTACTGTCCTTCAATGTAGTCACCAGCATTGTGTACAACCCTTTGCCAGCGATGTGGAGTCATAGGATACCTTTAGCAGCGTCTGTTGTGTTGATAGTTCGAATGGAGCGGTCTACTGCCTGAAGAATCTCTGGAACAGTTCTGAAGTGAATGCAAGGAAGTGGTTCCTTCATCTCAGGAATCAAGTCAAAGTCACAAGGGCTTAAGTCCAGGGAGTATGGTGGATGGTACAGCACTTCCCAGCCCCATGGATCGAACAAAGCAGCCACAGCTTGCCATTTCTGCATTTCCATCAAATCATGCAGAACTCATCGTGATGCAATTTTTCTCATGCCCAGGCGTTCCTTCAGAATGTGAAGCATAGTTGTATGCGCTAATCCTGTCTCTCGGGCCAGCTCACGAATTGTATGGCGTCGATCACTCTCCAGTATCACGGAAAGAGCATACACTCCTTCACTGACACTAGGACAACCTGGCTGACACATGTCTGCCACATTTTGGCATCCCTCGTTGAATGCTTTTACCCACCTTGCCACTGTTCTGTAATGCAATGCAGATTCCCCGCAAGCCTCTTGAAGACCTTGATGACACTGTCGTGCTGTACAGCCTCTGGCACATTCAATCTTTATTCAACTCCGTTGTTCTTGTTTCAAAAACATTGTGACAACACTACATTATACTGCCAGCTAACATGAGCCTCTGTTCTTCTTGTTACTGCGCATGCGCGTGATGTGGGAAGGGAGAGTCCATTTGCTCTGAGGTAAGGTAGGTATATAACTAACGTGTGGTATAAGAGACATTATTTGGTTCCATTGCATGGCATCTGTACAGCAGTGTTGCCACTATTAAAGTTCCAACCCTCTTATTTTTAAGATATGTTTATGCTAGTTTTCCTAAATCATCTGTTAAATTACATATTACAAAGAACAAACTGTGGATCTCAACTAGTATAAAAATCAAATATAGTATTAAGAGACATTTGTATTTAATTAGTAGGAATAGCAATGATCCCAAAATTAAAAGTTCCTATAAGGCATATTGTAAACCTTTGGCTGCAGATATAAAATCTAAGCTTCTTTATTATGATAAACAGATCTTAAATTCTAACGATAGAATTAAGAGTGCTTGCAATATTGTTATGGTGCTGACGAGCAGGAAGTCACATTATGATATTTTACCTACTTTTTATACTTTTGATGGAGTATATACTAATTCAGTCATATAACATGACTTTGATTTCAATCTGCTGCATAAGACTGCATTGACAGAAACCCTCCCTAGGTATTGTCCAAATATAACTTTGAATACTGCAGTGACACAGGGTCCACAGCGCCAATATGGATCTGGACGTGGTGACAGTGCATATATCTTCATGCCAAAACTCCTCCACAGAAAGACTGACCCCACCCTTTATCGAAGGGGGGCCCCATTTTTTCAAAAAACACACGTGTCTAGAAGAAAGAATCTTGGTCAAGTCTTGGAAAAGTCCTTAAGTCAAGAATGAGTGTGTGGGCGAGGTCCAGCAATTCTTTTCTTTTTTTCATCAGTGCTCTTTATACATAAGACAAGTTTCAACACAGCATCATCAATAATTGTAACCAACACCAGTGGGCAAAGGAGAATCCTCATGGTGTAATCTATTCTAGACATGAACTTTTGAATTCCTGAACCAATCTTTATAGAAGTGGTATGTATATCATTCCACATAACCCCAATCTCATCAGCATAGTTCATAAATCCCTCCCACCAGTAATACCAAAATTAGAATCTCTAAAATTTTTCAGGCCAAACCTTAATACGCTCGAATAACCTGCATCAATCTTCAGGAAACTAAGTATGCATATCATACCAAATGAAACCATCTCAACACCTTACAGCCACTCAAATTGTTGCAGTAATAACTGTAATCATACCTAAATGCCTGAACAGACCGCCATAAAACTTGGTATGCATATCATGCCACCTGAGCCCATTTCAACAGCACACCTTATAAATCGCATCAATCAGTAATATCAACATCACAGTTTTTTGAACTGCTGAGGAGAAACCTTATGATTCCTTCAACGCCCGTACCGATCTTCAAGAATCTTGCTATGTATGTCATGCACTTCATCATTCCTTTCCATCAGTATTGCCAGCATTACTACCTCTCAAATTTCTGGGGCAAAACCTTAAAATATTGCTTGAACACCTGTGCCAATCTTCATGAAAGTTGCTAAGAATATAATACTACATGAAGGCTCTAACAAATACATAATAAATCCCTTCAATCAGTAATACCATAATTGGAGCCTTTCAAATTTCTTATACAATTTGTCATTAATCTTAGACATTGCTTGAATGTCTATACCAATCTTCATGAAACTTGGTATGTACACGTGTACATAACATGCCACCTGAGGCCATGTCAATGGTGTAAATGATAAATGTCTCTCGTTGGTATTACGAGCACTATAGCCTATGAAATTGAGGTAATAACTCCCCTTATGACGGCTTCAATTGATCGTCATGAGAATTTGATATGCATATCATCGCACCTGAGACCACATAAATGGTGTATGCAAGAAATCCCTGTCACTAGTTGTACCAATAAGAAATTTCATATATATATCACGCCATGTAAACAGTGTACCCATAAGTCACTCTAATCTGTAATACCAACGTTGAAGCCTCCCAAACTGTATTGTTTTATTGACTACATTATGCACACATAACAAAATTTTCTGTACTTGCAGTATCACATACTAAAGTTATACTGAAAGAAAGTAGGGTTCTTCCCAGAACTTTTCTACTTCCACAAAATATTCTCAACAAACAATTTTTCTTTCATTAATATACAATGCAAAACTGATGTGTAATGTAAAATACACACAGAATTATGAACAGCCCGATTTTCAGCACTCTCTCTGAAACGTCCTCCTTAAGAACCTATCTTCAAAACAATAGATTGCCCACAACAACATATTCACACTACATCAATTCGAAAGCTGTA